TGAATTCAACTGCTTCACAAGGGCAACTTCTTTGAAGTGTCCTAACCTCTACCCTAGCCTAATTCCTACTCAATTCAGGGTAGTGATGTCTTCGTGTGTGGGTGGCCCATGTTAAAGACACGAGATTTTTGCACACAATGACATTCCCCATTTCGCTGTGTTTGATGACAGAATGTTTGTCTTTTTCGCCTCGTGCACATGTCGATTAATGTACTTGGTACTTGGATGAAGAGCACAACTAAGTTGTGAGGTGAACTTAAGACTTACTGGCTCTCACATAAAATTCTGGTTGCTCGAGAAAGGAAAAAGTAATAAAAGTTTGGAGGACCACTGAAGGTAAACCTTCAGAACACTAGAAATGAAAACTTGGATAGGTGATGTCAGGAGAAATTATGAAATGTATAACATAACAAATTAGATTTAATTGTCAAAATGAAGGAGGAATTACAGAACATCTTGAGTTTCAATGTTTGTTATTATCCAAAAGCAGGAACAATTAAGCAAAATGAGTCAATTGAATAACCAGTTGAACCTTGAAATAGAGCAATCACTTAGACAAGTCATGTGAGATGAAATGAAATAATTGTGTGATAAACAAAACAATGAATTAGCTGACTAAACATTTGAAGTATCACATGAACAAAGTGATGCTACATAAAAGTTTAATAATTAATAAACAATTTGTATAGAATGACGCCAGATACATTTTTGCACTAAAGTATATCAATATTGAATGCAATGAATAATGGATAATCGTAAAGCGACTCTATATTGAAACCCTATTCTCAATTCCCTTCAGTAAAACAAAAGATACATTAAAGCATGAGAGTACTTGCATGATACCATATCACCCATTAATACGGCGTACAGAACGTACGATATAATGCGGGCGCTCCGCGACTGTACTCAGCCATAGCCCGCTAGTATGCATAAGGCTAAGGCACAGCGCATCGGCGCGACGTGGCGACGGCTAGAAAACTCGGGAGAGAAGTGTGAATTCTCTCTCGTGTGGTACAGCTCTCGTCCGCTCTATATGAGCGATTTTTGGCGCCCGCTGATTGGACGAAAGTGTCGGTAATTAGTTCCAATGACCGCATTTCCTTCCATTCAGTGGCCAAACAGATGACTCGTGACTACTGAGGTTTGCAATCGCCGCGAATGTGATTCGGCAGAGGGGGGGGCAGGTGGGGAAGAGGGGAGGTGCGCCGCTACCTTGTCGACATGGATGAAGCACGTTCTGTCCGGGACTGAGTTCTCCGACCGCGGGACGGAAGGGACGTAGGCCTCTTCCCAGAAACGGAGCGGTGGTGGGGAGGACATCCGCCGTCGACGTACACTACCGGCGAAAAACATTTTTTTAAACTTTCTCGATGCGGACGTTTTCTTGCATGTATCAGAATCTGATGATGATCTTCACTCTCTGAATGAACCACCTCGGAGTCCATAGTTAACAATTTTTCGTCAATGATGTCCGGTACAATACCATCTTTTTCCCAATAATCACTTTCTATTTTTTCCACGTGCCTGCGAAATCCTCGCCAGTCCTGTACGGTGACCTCTCGTATTGCAGTTTCAATGTTTTCTTGCAACTTGGTAACTGACCTATCACCTGTTATATTTCGCTCCCTAAATATCCGCTTTACTTTCGCCCAAGCAAGTTCAATTGGGTTCAACTTACACATGTAGGGAGGGAGTCGTACAACTGTATGTCCGTGTGCTGCTAGCAACTCGTCGATCTTGTACTGCTTAGTCCATGGTTTGAGAGGTGCAATTAATCGGTACAAATCAGTCTTATGCATACTTTCTTCACAATGCACTCTTTCTTTGAAGCCATGCAATCATGTCAGCTTCTTTTGAGTATGGGGACGGAGTCTTGTTGACTTCCATACTGTGGTATGGGACATTGTCAAGGAAAACAACAGCATGCTCTGGTAGATGTGGCAATAATATTTTACACACACATTTCTCAAAATTAATGCCATTCATTTGGTAGTCTCCCACAGTACTACTTGCTCGTAAGATTAGACACGTGTCACCAAGAAATCCATTTTCCCTCTGCGTGAACAATTATTAGTCTACTTGTTGCATTTCCCTTCACTTGGACACCACAAAGATCACTCTGCCAGCACTTTTGAAATTTAAGGGTGTTATCAACCCATGTCTCATCCACATAGATATCTCGGTTCTCTTTTCGAAATTGTTTCAATTGAACAATGTATCAGGATCTCCAATCCACTATGTCCGGTCTATCAGCACCCGCCGCTTTAATTAGCACCTTTTCACCTTTTAAAACCCATTGATTTCATAACGCACAATAAAGATTTTGGGCCCCAATGAAAATTAATTTTGCTCTTAATAATTGGAAGAAGCTTTAGCACCGTCGGCACTACCTTTTCTCTCACGTAGAAATCCAGAATCCAGTATTTCGAATGACACACTGGTCAAAACTATCTACATGGACAGACTTGCCACGTGACACTCTTCTCTTCTTACCAGGAGATTCAAACTCAATCTTGGACCCATGAATGTTCGGTTTGGCCGTCGACGTGGAAGCATGGCCGGGATACCCCCATGATTTTTTCCGTTTAGGGTTATCGTAAGGAACCCATTTTTCGTCCCCGGTCACAACACGATGCAGTTCCGTTTTTGCCTCTGAAGCAACTGTTCACAAACACACAAACGCCTTTCAATGTCTCTCGGTTTCAACTCATATGGGACCCAAGTTCCTTCTTTCTGAATCATACCCATGGCTTTGAGACGTTTTGAAATGGCTTGCTGTGTCACCCCCCAATGATCGTGCCAGTTCTTCTTGAGTTTGACGCGAGTCTTCACTCAGCAATGCCTTCAATTCTGCATCCTCAAAAACGTTCACTCTTCCGCCACTATGCCGGTCTTCCACGTTAAAGTCACCATTCCTGAAGCGTTGAAACCACTCGCGACACGTTCTCTCACCATAAGTACTGAAGAGCATTCGATGAGACTCAGCCGCACTTTTCTTCATATTGAAACAAAAAAGCAGAGCCTCTCGCAGATGAGAATTCGGCTCGTACACTGACATTTTCAATCGCGAACAACGTTACGTTACACACACAAATGCACTAATGTTTGAATGGGGTTATGTTGCCGAAGCTCATAGCTAACTGCCTGACGTCTGCGATCTGTTTATCGCATTATTTTCAAGGACACTTTTATAAAACACTTGGTTGACAGTTTGTGCTCGTGGAACAAATTCTTTGTGCACGATTCCCTTACTGTCAAAAAAACAACAAATCAGCTTGGTCTTGATCTTCGGTTTGCTCATTTGACATTTCTTCGGCCTAGAAGATGACGGAGTGTGCCACTCTTCGCTTTGCCGCTTCGTTTCAGGATCGTACTCAAATATCCACGATTCATCACCTGTGATCACACAATTGAAGAATTCTTGGTCATTGGCAATCCTTCTAAGAAGATCAGCGCACACGTTTTTTCGATTGACCTGTTCAGTTGTGAGGTTTTTCGGCACCATTTTGGCACAAATCTTTCGCATGTTCAAATCGTCTGCCAAAATTTGATGTATGTTGAAAGTGTTTAAATTTAACTGTTCACCGATCATCCTTATTGGTAAACGACGGTCTGATCTCACAAGAGCCCTCACACGTTCAACGTTTTCGTCAGTTTTTGAAGTTGAAGGTCTCCCTGAGCGAGGGTCATTTTCAACGTGTTCTCGACCTTCCAAAAATGATTTGTGCCAGCGATAAGTAATGATTGATAAAGAGTATTGATATTGAGTAAGCCTTGATAAGTAATGTTCCCCATAGGCCTGTTTCAACTTTTGAAAAGTCAAACTCGCGGATTCACCAAGTTTAACACAAAACATTATTGCGCAACGTTGCTCTAAATTCCGATGCTCCATTTCTCGAACACACAACAAAAACACAACTTCACTGATGGCGCTGTCAAAAATAGTGTTATTTGTACGGAGTTGTAACTCGGACTGAGGATGTGGAAGGGATAAACAAAACTGTCTAGCACAGGCCGTTAGACACAACGTTGCCAGATCGCCCGCAGTGTTACCAGTCTCATTACTTTTCTCACGCACCTTGTATACTGCAATTTAACGTTTTGTTGCCTAAATTTGCTAGAACTCAATGGAAATTTGCTGAAATTTCATTTTTTTTTCTCCTCCCCTGCTGTAGTCATATGCTTTGTTTGGCGAAGAGAGCCGCAAGCAAATAATCCTTTAGCGATTAGCCTTGAGAGGGGGACATGATGTGATGAAGTTATCGAAGAACAGGCAATACCCAAGAAATTGAAATGCTTCTGATAATTCTAATAGAGCTCTCTCGCCGAGTGGAAGGTTATCTTCATCTTTTACCTTCATAAATTTTGAATGAGATCAGTAACCAGTGACTGCACATCATACTTGGAATCTCCTTGTTATACACTTCATTGGAAGTATTGTTTCAATGAAGACCTTCCTTTGTACCCAGTCATGCTCACATGAATTGAAAAAAAGGGATGGCAAAAAAGTCTTCGAAAGTAAACGAAGAATTCAACATGTCAAATAAAGGTCGAATTTTATATAATTTATCAAAATTTGAAGTATCTCTTGCGGGCATCATAGCATTGTCATTCAAATATAAATGTCTCAGGTTCTTTAAAAAAACCTTTCAAAGTCATTTCAGAGGCTGTTCGAGCAATATAACAATTCAAATTTAATTTCATTGCTGATAAAATGTGAAATCCTATTATCAACATATCTAGAAACGTTTACAGTTCCTCTTCACAAAGATTTAAATTTACTCCTTTCTTCCTTGCTTATAAGTTAGACTGATCAACTGCATGTTGTGGCAAGATGGCTGAAAAAAGATCTTGAAGATCTTGCAGAATGATTCTATGTCAATCAGATTTTGTATTAGCTCCAGGAGGGCTTTGTGCAGAAGAAAAAGCTAGCGGAATGTTCCCTTGTTTCGGTCTCTGTTAACTAGCTGTAAAATCATTACTGATCATTCTGACTGGAATCAGTTGCTACATTTTCCAGAAAAATCATTGCTTGGGGTGTAATCTTTATCTAGAGCAGAATCATCGGAATCAAAATCGCTTTCGAGAAATTCATTACTTCTGCTGCTCCTCGATGTCCTGTTACGTGAAGATATTATTTCATCTTCGGCATCACTATCCCCACCAGCTTCGCAATCTACACCTTGTTCGTTTGTAATACTCTCCGCCAAATGTCTCTCCGCAGTGGCTGTCTTCCTACTCCACCGTTCTTTATGCGGTAACGGCAACATTGCGGGCTGGATCTGCGGCGGCGACACTAAAAAAAAATTTAAATATAATTTAAAATGACATTTAAAATAAAGAATATATAATATATTACTTTTCATACAATTTTTTGGATTTATGGACATTACAAAGATATTGAATATTTTCATTTCTCATGATCTTGAAATGAGTTTTGTACATATTTATTTTAGCAACTCCTCAGAATAAGAAATCAGGTGTGAGATCTAGTGATCTTGGCGGCCATAGCCCTTTCGAAATTACACGGTTTCCGAACACGAACATTTGTTTCACTTATTATTTGCTTTAAACATCCGTGTACTTATTATTTGCTCCAAACAAATGTACCACCAAAAATGCATACACTAGTGTCAGCATTGTAACAGTTATAATCTGACTCCCAAAAAACTTGAGCGAATTCAAACTGAATCGATCAGATTTTTTTAATTTCAACTATTGCTTGCTTGCTTGCAACGAGCGCGCTTCTGAAAATAACATTCGAACGTCGCCACTCTGTCATTGATTAAGCCCGCGGTATTTGCCGTTTCCGCATGTCGCGACGGGACATAAGGGGATCAAGTATAACACGTACCCCTGATATAACACATGTTTATTAATATAGCTTACATAGTGGTCCCTGCTCCTGGTCGTGCCACACGTGCCCCCGCGTCCGTCGGCTCCGGCGCCTCCGTCCGCGAAGCTCGCTGGTGCAAGGCAGCGGTCCCAATGACCGTGAGGGCCGCCGCTGGTGGGTCCAACGCAATGGGTCTGTTGCTAGCAGTCCGCCCGTCCAACCGCCCGTAGGCTGTGGTCAGGAATTCTACGTAGTACTTCACCACTGTGCGGTCCACACCGCCATAAATTTGTCAGCGGAGGCTGATCGGCAGCCGGCGACTGTTGAGTTGTAAATAACCCCTTTGGGAATTTGGATTCCTGACGCGGGCGCGTGGCAAAAGGGCGCGCGGGCGCGTATTGTTTGTCTTGAGTGCCCGGTGGCTCCGCGAAGGGTGGCAGCGCGAGGTGTATATGATGGGTCATAAATGTGTCCGCTGCTAAGAGGCACCCTCATCAGCTGGCGGCGGGCGGCTGTCAATGTGCCGGCGCAGCCTGGCGGTCGTTAGGGTTCTTCGCAACAAAAGCTCCGTCCCGTGACCTACTTAACTGTGATGGAAGCTATTTCGATATAAAATTATTATATTATTTGGTGACGCCACTATATATATATATATATATATATATATATATATATATATTATATATATATATTATATATTAAGCGTAAACGTTGGTTTTCGAACAATGTTTATCTGTCCTTGGTGGTCAACACCTATTTTCTTATTAATAACCCTTCTTCACTTCTCCCTATACATATTCACTTAACACTATCACTTTTGTTTCTTCCCACTGCACACGGACACACTTCATGTCTTCTGACTGAACAGTCTCTACAGTACTTGTTTGTCTTGTCGCCCTTTCTTTTGTCGGTACGCCTTGCGTCTTCGTTGGTAGTGACGTTTGCGAGAGGGTCTTAGCGAAGTTGCAGGTGTGTGGATGGCTGGTTGGAGAGTTTCGCCTGGCCGCCGTGTGACGGGGGTGTTGCTGCCTGCGGCGACGTCAGATGCTGGTTGGTGTAAAGCATGAGTATTTTCCGCGTTGGAGCGGCACCAGGCGGAGTGATCTGGTTCTGATACCTTCATTTCTTCATTATCTTCCCTTGGTTCAGAGAATAGGATGCGACCCGGTGTTCTAGGCCGCTGCTTGGGCGGGGGTGAACTGTCCAGCCCACTGATGTTCCATGGCAGGTCCTCTGCATTGGGAAGCCACCAGTGGAGTAGTCTGGCTCTGGTACCTTCCTCATTGCCTCTTCATTATCTTCCCCTGGTTCAGAGAATAGGGTGCGGCCCGGTGTCCAAGGCCGCTGTCCGGCCGGGGGCGTACTAGGTGTCCGAATGATACCCTCAGGTTGGTCTTCCCGGTCTCTGGGTCCTTGGTGCCTCGTCATCAGTGAGGTCCCTAAGTGGGCTTCCGAAGATGGCAATGTACCGCTGAATCTTCCGTCGTGAGGACGTCATTCTGCAATTATAAGGAAGTTTTGCAATAGATTATTTGAGTGGATAATTGTGGCCGGGCCGTAGATTATATCTTGAGTGAGGCGGGAGCTGGGATGTTGATGACGTTTAAGATACTGGTGGTGCGTTCTGTGTGCGTGGGATATCAGTAGTTCAAGGTGGATCGGTCGAGTTTGAGGGGGAGGGCGTGTGGGTGGAGTTTCAGATGGTGGTGGTGTATCCTGGTTGAGTTCGGTATCCGTATGCCTGGTAGGATCGGTTGAGAAAGGTGCCCCGAACGATTCCTGTTCAGTGAGGGGGGGATGTTGACTTCCAGTAGTACTTTAGGAGATTGGGGGTGGGATCTGATGGTAGCAGCAACAGATTATTTAGGTGGGCTGTAACTGTGCGGCCTTCCTGTAATTCTTGTATGTCGAAGGTAACAGCACTTCGGGCCTTAGTAACTGTACGGTCCTATCAATCTTGGTGCGAGCTTCTTAGTTTGTTGCGGTGACTACCATGTTTCGTAGGAGTACTAAGGTCTCCTGTCTTCAGCGCCTGAAGTCTTCGCGTTCTGTTCTTTTGTTCGTGTTCATAGGCTATGTTAGAAGCGTTATGATCACTGGCTTGGGCGTGAGCGATCTGTAGCCTTTTCCGTAGCACATAGTCGTATGGGGGGTCCTCCGCATAGCACGGTGGAGCAGGGACCAAAATCTCTTCTCATGGCATAGTTAATTGTCGACCGTAGATTAGGTAGGCGGGTGAGAACCCTGTGATACGATGCTTGCTATTCCTGTACGCGAAAAGGGCATAATTTAAGTGTTCGACCCAGTCCCCATGGTCCTGTTCGACGTAATGTGATATTATGGCGGAAAAAGATTGATGGGCTCTTTCTAGCTGCCCGTTGGCGGCAGGGTTGTAGGCTGTAGTAAATATGGATTCTATTCGTAATAATTTACAAACCTTTCTCATTAATTTAGATGTGAATTTGGTTCCCCTGTCAGTAAGCAAATATTTTGGCGTGCCGTGTCGTGTCTCTGTTTTCTACAAATGCCCTGGCCACAGTTTCTGCGGTTTGATTTGGGCCCATGATGTCTAGCGCCACCTTCTCGAAAGGATACGTCGCTTCAGTTACTGGTTGAATAGGGACCGACCCCTGAATTCCTTTTCTCTGTAAACACGATATAAAGTTTTTAACGTAGTTCTGGATATCCGCACACCTGCCTGGCCAGTAGAAATGTTTCACTATGTTCAGCGTTTTCTCTAATCCCAAGTGCCCTGCCAAAGGGTTATCGTGGCAGTGTTTTAAAATATACTGCTGCATGGAGGACGATGCGCAAATTATGAATACGGGTCCTGAATCGGGGGTGTGAATCGGGCAGCCTCTTTGCTCGAGGGCTATGCGCGCTTTGTCCCATACCGGTTCGTACTCAACATTACTACCTACAACCGAGATGACCGGCTCCGGGATGCGAGTAAGCGCGTCCACGTGAGAGATTTCTTTTCCTGGGATATATCTGTCCGTGAATGTGTACTCCGCGATTTCCATCACCCACCTGGCTAACCGCGGTTTTGGTTCTGGCGTAGACAACAGCCACCTGAGTGGTTTGTGATCCGTGCATAATACTAAGTGTCGTCCTAGTAGGTAAACGCGAATTTTACGCAGCATTTCTACGATAGCTATGCACGCCAATTCTGTCGCGGAGTAGGATTTTTGAGCCTTGGATTGTTTCTTACTCGCACAAGCTACTAGGTGTTCGCCGTCTTCGAATTCCTGTGTTAGTACCCCCCCCCTACCGCGTTCGTCCTAGCGTCTGTGGTCAGGATGAATTGACGCGAGAAGTCAAGGAATCGTAAAACCGGAGCTGAAGAGTGTCTGTCCCTTAGGGCCTCAAACGCCCTCTGATGGTGATCCTCCCATCGATATTCGGTGCCCTTCTTAGTTAAATCGGTTAGAGGGGTTGCTACCGCGGAGAAGTTGGGAAGAAACTTCCTATAGATTCCCACGAGTCCCATAAAGGATTGCAGTTCTTTTACGCGTTGGGGTACGGGGAAATTGCGGATTGCTACTGTTTTCTCCTCGTCTGGTTCTATTCCCTGCTCTGAGATGACATGCCTCCGAAAAAGCGCGCGTTTTTTAAAAAAATGCCATTTCTACGGTCTTAATTTTAAGTTGGCTTTATTCAGCCTCCTAAAAATCTCACTTAGACCCGCTAAGTGGGCCGTTATGGTTTGGTCGTACCGGAGAATATCGTCCAAATAGAACACAACCATTTTTCCCAGACCGTCCATAACCGTGCTCATAAGCCTCATGAAGGTGGCTGGAGCATTGGCTAGACCTTATGTTCGAGCCCCGACGGTGGTAGGGTTTTCGACACTAGCTAGACAGCGAGGTAGAGTTCAGTCGCTGCCTAGAGAGAGAGAATTCTAGCGGCCTGCTGCTCTGATCGGTAGTTTTCGTGGTTTCTCCGATCAAAATCAGACGAATGCCAGAGCAGTACCCTAACGAACGGACCGCGCGCGATCATTCCTTCCACTTCCTTGTCCTATCCTCGCCCCTTACTCTATGATACAGTTACACTAAAATGCACGACACAATTACATATACTGGGAAGCCGGTCGGGAGCTTAGAGCTTGTTCCGTCTGGGACGGTGCCCCGCTGGTGGAGATACCTGGTTGGGGAAACCCCGCTAGCCTACGGTAGGTCGGAGCCAGATACCGCCATCCAGCCTGATCTCACCATCTCCCGAAGCGCTTCAACTGAGCACACACGCTATACTTACGGGACTAATGGTCTTGGTAGTTGACGCGCCCGGAATCACTAACCAACCAACTTAGCGCTTGTCTCGAATGGGGCTGAGCCCCGCTGGTGGGGTCCTCGCCGATTAAGTTTATTCTCGCCCCGGTATCCATCTTAAATTCTCTCTTCCCACAGGGGAAATTTAAATCGATCGTGATGA